AGATTTCTCAGAGTTTGCAGAGGTTTTATCGAACGTTTTCAAATGAATGTTGCGTATCCGACAGTGTCTGCTAGTTCCTTCTTTTCTTTATTTATGCATGCGTATCCGTCCTTTCTCTGCAACTCTTTCTCTTTGACGAATGAATGATTAGAGATAGAAATGTGCGAATATCTCTTTAGATTTATGCATTCATCTATCAACGTGTATGCCAAAAATGGTCGAATTAATTGCTGATTGATTGAAGATGGTAAAGAACATATCGAGTGCTATTTTACAGATGTCCAGCTTACTGATTAAATACATGAAATTAATCCGGGTTATGAAAATGGCTAGGTACATCAACGTCGTTATTAATGAATAATGATCAAGTTTTTGGTTAATTATCAACTATTAAGTGCTACTACGTATTGTTGTTGACAAAAATATTGCTGTGACCTCTTTATTAGTGGTATCAGTTAATAATTAACGCTTTACTTAAATATTAACAGTTGTTACCCATATCATAATCAGAACTAGAATTTTAATTGGAATTCCATAATTATTGTCATCTGTTATTAGAATGAATGTTAATCAGTATATCCAGCAACTGTATTATTATCAAATTAATATTTGCATGTAAGGTCCATTATTGATTCAATCAGCTGCTTACTTCATTCGTATTGTATTTTCCAATATAAATATTGGGAAATGATAACTGCAGAATGAATGAACATCGAATCCAAAGAAAATATCGAGATTATATCATGTAGAGTGACAGCGTACCATCGAGTGCTATAATAAACTTTGCTGTAAGAAGAATTTATGGCTCACTGCAAATCGTTAAATAAGTAGTGTAGTAAATAAACAAGTTATTTTCTGATGATGACAGGTGTCGATGATGATGACGACGTGGAAAGTAACTAACTGTGTGAATTGTGAGATAAATACATTTATAAACTCGTCCTATGAATGTGAATAAGGCGATGTGTTACTGGTGTTACTTACTAACGTCTATGTGCGTTTATGTGCGAGAATCATAGTTATGTATTTATGTAGTTAACATGGCATGCATATAAATATAATGATGTTTATATACAAACGTGTGAAAAATTATTTATTATATTAATGTTATTATTAATTTCACTGTCATTATTGTTGTTGTCTAGGATAAGAAATTTTTGCTGTTACTATTATCAACGTGAATGGTGTTGGTAACAAGAATGACTAGAGAATGAGTGGAATACATATAATTTTCAACATTACTAACACATATTAGATGTTATATACGTTCAGTTTAACATGTGAGTATGTTATTAATATTAATTTAAAAAATGTACATTTTGTTAATATGAATGTTTTAGTGCTGAAATTACGACAGAAATTATAAAGTTAATATAAAGACATTGATCAAAATAATATGATTTTTAAATATACATATTATTATAACATTAAAGTTTTAAAGAAATTATTTTTGTTATCATAAATAGTATATTTCTGATGCGCATAAATAGAAGTGAAGGCTTAAGTAATTAAATGCTCTATTAATATGATGTAATTAGTTGGTTCATTGATCTTAAGGCAGTCAAAATGAAATATTCCGGTCCTATAATTAGAAAGTTCCAAGGATAAGAGCATAAAAGTTTGGGTGTAATTAAGTATCCCATAGCTAGTTGAGTCTCAAGAACGACACAGAAATGATTATCTACATTGTTTTCACATACAGAAGAACGGTTACTGAAAATTTTAACTAGTTCATAAATCAAAATCATGACAAGTGTTAAAAAAGATTAAATCCTAGACAAACGATTTGGTATCACTGGTATGGTAAATATAAAATCAATTTACGTTCGAGCACATCTGATAAGCTTTGCGTTGATCCAATTCCTTTACTGATCTATTATTATTTTCTAATTTCGAAAGTAATTCTACTATGTGACCTTAGATGTTGGCAGAAAAAAGCATTAGTTTTCAAATTGAAAATGCGCTTTCCACATTTGAACTTTTAATTGATTCGACTTTCAAAGTTATTCGAGTATGAGTAAATGCTGTCATGAAAACATACGAAGTCTCGATGATTTAATTTTCCTAGTGAAAAAAGTGACTGGAAAGCAATAAAAAAAACTGGAAAGTTTTTTAATTATTGGTAAGTAAAATATCAAACCTTTTTATAATACATGAAAGAGTGCGACAAATTTGTGACAAAATAACTACAATTAAAAATGAAAGTTAAGTCAGTGCTTGAGGAAAGTATCATAATTTAAACGATTACAAAGTGTGTGGTTCTTTCGTCATCAAAACTAGGAAACTAGCTCTTACTACGATAAGACAAAAACATTTTCAAAGTGCTAGAAGTAGAAATTCATTCAGAAACTATCAGTGATTGTTGCGCTTTCCAAATAGAAAAAAGAAAAGGAAATTGACGAACATCTGATAACAAATTCATCTTCTGATAGTATAATGTAACACTTTTTTGTCTTATCGCAATCCTGAATTTACCCAGTACTATAGTTTTCAATAATTACGAATTTTGCATCGATGAAAATTTGCTTATCTTTATGCATTGTTTTGTAAAATTTTCAAAAGTATTCAGTGCATGAGAGCGAAAAAATAGAAAATTCATTCTGTGTATCAAATAAAAATATGCCACTACGGATAAACGATGCCCTCATAATTTTTAAGTGTATGCAATATCAAGGTGATTACTGAAAATGATGAACTAAATCGAGCTCTCAATAAGATTTTAATTCGAATCTCAAAGTTGAAAGCTTCATTGATACAGCAGTACAATTGTGAACAATTCTTGGTTTCTTCACAGTATAGAAAGGGAAATTACTTCTTTTCAGAATATTAAACTTTTTGACTTCTTTGAAGATGTCTATTATTTAATTCGGGTTTTGCAAAGACAAAATTAATTACAAATATCAGTTATCATAAATTAATCAAAGATTAGTTTCTTCTCAACACCTCGAAAGTTCGTTTCTAATCTTGTAGTTCGACTATTTTTTGTAGAAACTAATTACAATTTTTCCATAAGTAAATTAAGATGTTAAGCATCTCTTAATGCTTGGTTGCCAATCCTTCTGAAGAAGGAATATTTTTGTAAGAATTATTTTGTTTACAAATACTCATCACAACTTCAAGATAAATAAAAAAGAGTAAAAGTAATTGAAATGACAGAAAAATTTTGTGATCATAAAATATAAGATCGAAAGATTAATGCTAAATTCTTTTTATAGCAAATTTTTTCATGATTACGAATTTAAAATTGTTTTCAAAGATTTCTTTCTGCCTAAAAACTTGCTTTTCAGTTTCAAACTGAAAAGAAATGCTGAAATTCATCGAAATGCCAAATGCTGAAATAAGCAAAGAGAGTAACCGAAGCGAAGAAAAAAAAAACGAAAACGAAAAATAATATGCCATTTGACATTTCGATGAATTTCAGCATCTCTCTAATATGATATAGTGAGAAAATAATAAGCCTTTTCACTACAACATTTAAATAAATGTTCCACTCAAGAAAGCTCGAGATGGGAGCTGAACTACTGAGGTGTTTAAGAAGAATCGTTTCTGATCATATAGTTTGACTATCTTTCGTAGATACTAGTTACAATTTTTCCGTAAGTAAATTAAGATATCAAGCATCTCTTAATACTTGGTTGCCATTCCTTCTAAAGAAAGAATATTCTTGTAAGAATTCTTGAGGACTTGCTGTGCAGTAAATTACAAAATGTGATATTTATTACCATTATCAATATATAAATGATGTGATTGATTTTGAATCAATAATTACTATTTGTTTGACTAATATTAGCTTCTAAATTGTCATAACTTTGAATTTCCGTTGTTTATTTGTTTCAGGAAATAGTGGATGACAAATGCAATAAGCTAGGAAACGCTTTCTGTTCTCAAGGTTAAAACTTTTGATTGAATTAAAGATATGCTTGTTATTTTATATGCTAGATAGGTTTGGTGTCACTATTAGTTTCTCTCAAAGACATTGCAGAGAATAATTACCATAAAAAAAAAGAGAACTTAATTAAAGCAAAGTATGTAAATTATAGTAAATTAAAAAATCAACGAGCCAAATTTAAGAATGTTGTTTGCAAAATAGATCGGAATAATAACTATTGTGATAAGGCAATTAAGTTTCGGAAAGAAGAAAAGGTCATTGTTCTAAAAAGAGAAATAAGTCCAAGAAAACAAATGGGTTAAATGTTTGCATTGTTTAAGTATTCATGATAATTATGCAAATAAACGATAAGTAAAATGTACTCATTAGCTGTAAGGAAAATGACTTAACCTTGACATCGATATTAGACTATTTTATTTAAATATCCATATTCCGTTTCAACAAGTCAGTAATTATGCATACTAGCTCGCACAAAACAGTGGGAAAGGAAACAAACATTTCTTGAGAGCGATTGAAGAAATTATAAACTGTTGGGGATAGATTTATTGATCACTAAAATGATCGTACACTATCTAAAATTCTCAACTTTCCAATATGTTTATAATCTTTTATACTTGCTTATTTAAGTGTGTGTGAAAAGTTAGTTAAAATATTTGCCTATACATAACCATTTTTTAAAACTACGCAAGTTTCTAAAATATCAAAGTATTCAAAATGCACTTTGTGGACGTTGAAAGAGATCTAATTGTAATAGAGTGATCAATACCACTAGTTCATTTAATATGGGATACAGAGAAGACTAAATTTTGAAAGATCAAATTTTGAAGATGCTCATTACTTTTGCACCACTATTGTTAATTTGTATGCGTTTGTAGTTGAATGACAAGCATTATATTTTGTAAGTTAATCACCTGAAGTATAATTTGGAATGCAAATTAAAATCCACTGAAAGTGGCAAACTTTTTCTTGCACCACTGCATGAGCTGTATTTGCACCGACACTTCATTGAAAATAAGCAAAAAGTTACTCAGTTGCTTACAGCTGACTACTTTGATTCGCAGAAAATGATGAATGATCCAGTCTTGCACAATACTAACAGTTGAAAAAGAAAATGTGGAGGGAAGTCTTCTTTTTCGCTTTACTGATTCTGGCGCTGTATCGCATTCCGGCACTCTGGCTGTACTTGTTCGGCGTTCAGATTTGTTGTGCTCATCGTTTTCGCTTCGTCCTCATAAAATCCATAACGAGTATCGAAGGAGATGCTTTCGAGCGTGTTCTTGAGAACTATCGATTGAATGCATGCCTCGACGTGATCAAATATACTGATCACCTTCGCGTAGCGTTTGTAGAAATTGGTTACAGTCCCATCCCAAGTCATTACATTTAGAATTAGTTTGGTCTCTGACCCAAGTTTATTAGCTAATAGGTCATATTTTTGTTTTTCTCGGTCTCG